CATGTGACCTGACCTGAGCTCCATGAAATGGCTCCGTGGGTAAAGGTGCTCCCTCCCGCCCCCGTGGCTGATGAGCTGAGCTTGATCTTTGGAACTCACACGGTGGAAGGAGAGACTTGACTTCTACAAGTTGACCTCTGCATACATGCTGCTGCTGCATGTGTACACGCAAAATATCAAACTAAATGCTAAGGGCTAAACTGTAAAGAAACGAGGTGTGTGGAAGGTGAAGGCATAAGTAAGCCCATGGGCAGGTAATTTTCCTTTGGCCTCAGTCTGCGCTGCACTTCCTCCCACTAAGGAGCTCCTGCTGTCTCCAGCCCAGTTACAGATGGCTCGGCACCGCATGCAGCCACCGCGAGAGAGGGGACAGCAAACACATGACCGCTCCACTCAGGCACTACTGAAGGACAGTAGTGTACTCCCCTTGAAGATTCAAAGCATTCAGAGAAGAGCTTTGGATTACCCTGCCAGGGAAAGAATTATAAACAGCTGAGTCCTGAGGCGCACAAAGGGAATACGGGATGAACAGGGAGCAATGCTACAAATAGCAACTACTGCTTTGTGACCAGTTACAGAGCAGAGCGCCGGGAAGGCACTGGCATTTCCTGCATCCGTTATTGTATGTGTATGTAATTATGGTTTACAAACACTAGGATGTTAAAACAGTTGAAATAATTGTGGGCATAGAAATAACCCACATCATTTTCTCTTCATATCATGCAAATTTTGGTTCAAAGTTAACTTTCTTTTCTTTTCTTTCTTTTTTTTTTTTTTTTTTTTGAGACAAGGTCTCTCTCACTGTGTAGACCAGGCTGCCTTCCAACTCAGAGATCTTCCTGCCTCTGACTTCCAAGTGCTGGAATTAAAGGCTTGCGGAAGCCGGAAGAGGGCATCAGATGCACTGGAACTGGAGTTTCAGATGGCTGTGAGCCACCATGTGGGTGCTGGGCAGGGACCATGGGGGTCTCTGGAAGAGCAGCCAGTGCTCTCAGCCACTCTAGCCCTTCTCCTGTTTGCTTGTTTTGTTTCTGGTTTTGTTTGTTTGTTTAGATTGTCTTGTTTTAGTGCTGAGAATTGGACCTAGGGCCTTACCTATGTTAAGCATGTTTTACCGTTGAGCGTGAATACCCCTGCTCCTGTTGTTTCTCGTGTGTGTGTGTTTCTCTACCTTAGTTTAGCATTTGATGTCAGTATTGTGTAATCCTCAGGGAGGACTCACACATGCTCCTGCACTGAGCAGCTTAGGGAGGATTCTCAGGTGCAGAGGCAGAGGCAGGTGGATCTCTGTGAGTTCAAGGCCAGCCTGGTCTACAAAGTGAGTTCCAGGGCAGACTCCAAAGCCACAGATAAACCTGTCTTGAAAACAAACAAACAAACAAAATAATTGTAATAGTAATAATAATACTGTTTTTCCAGAGTACCTGAGTCTTGAGTTCTGTTCCCAGCACCCACACTGGCCAGTTCACAACTGCCTGTAACTTCAGCTCCCAGAGGATCCAAAGTCTCTGGCCTTGTTGGGCATTTGCAGCCAGGTACACATGCCCACATGAAGACACAGGAACATGCACATAGTTAGAAATAAATTCATTTTGGGGCTGGAGAGATGGCTCAGTGGTTAAGAGCGCCTGCTTTTCCAAAGGTCCTGAGTTTCAATTCCCAGCAACCACATGGTGGCTCACAACCATCTGTAATGAGATCTGGTGCCCTCTTCTGGCCTGCAAGCATACACACAGATAGAATACTGAGAATACTGTATACATCATAAATAAATCTTTAAAAGAAATAAATTCATTTTTTAAAAGATGAACAGAAAAGGTGTCTGCAAATAGACATTATGATATAGACAGGAGGGAAACTGAGTGCCGAGTGGGACAGTCCAGGCTTCTGTAAAGTGAGAAGCATTAAGAAAAGGACTAGGGCCGGAGAGATGGCTCAGAGGTTAAGAGCACTGACTGCTCTTCCAACGTTCCAAAGGTCCTAATTCAACTCCCAACATTCACACGGTGGCTCACAACCATCTATAATGAGATCTGGTGCCCTCATACATATAGGCAAACACTGTATATGTATAAATCTTTTTAGAAAATGAAAAAGAAGAGGAGGAGGAGGGCTCCAAGAGGATCCAGTTAAGGTGGGACCAGCATGTCTTGTTTGGTGACCATCTCACAGTTGGGTGGCAGCAGGAGAGGAAGAGCCCACAGTGTGGTTCACCCCAAGGTGAAGTCCGCCAGACCCGGGGCCTCCAGCGCCAAGAGTGTGTGACTCAGCAGCCTTCGGCACACATGCCTCTTAGTAAGCATTTTTGGGGTTGTTTTATATTTTATACTGAAGCCCAGTTGGCCTCAATTTTGATATGTAGCCAAGAATGGCCTTAAACTTCTGATCCTCTTGCTTCAGCCTCCAAAGTACCAAGATGATAAACGTGTGCCACTAAGGCCGGACAGTGATGGTGCACGCACACTTTTAATCCCAGCACTCAGGAGGCAGAGGCAGGTGGATCTCTAAATTTGAGGCCAGCCTGGTCTACAGAGTGAGTGCCAGGGACAGCCAGGGCTACATAGCCAAACCCTGTCTCAAAGAACAAACAAATGGGGCTGAAGAAATGGTTCAGCAGTTAAGAGCACTGATTGTTCTTCCAGAGGACCTGGGTTCAATTCCCAGCACCCACATGACAGCTCACAACTGTCTGTAACTCCAAGATCTGACACCCTCACGCAGACATACACACAGGCCAAACACCAATGCAAATAAAAACAAACAAACAAATAAACAATAATAACAACAAAACGTGTGCCACTGTAGTTTTGGGAGGTGCTGGTGGCAGAATAAGATGGGTTCTCATTACCCAGCTCTGTTTGCCCTGGCGAGGGACTTGCTATGTAGGCCAGGCTGGCCTCATCCTCACAGAGATCTGTCTGCCTCCACCTCCTGGTGCTGGGATGACAGCGTGACCACCATGTCTGGCCCAGTTGTGATTCTGTTTGTTTGCTGTAGACAAGGTTCCATGTCACCCATGCCGCCATCAAACCTGTGGTTAACGTGAACTCCCAACCCTCCTGCCTCCACTCTGCAAGTGACGCATTACAGGAGTAGACCACCAAACCTGGCCGATTAGGGATTCTCACGGCCACTGCTGGCTTCCTACCCCTTTCTATTGCATCCTTTTGTCCGTCTGTTTGTAGACAAGATCTTGCTATGCAGCCCCGACTGGCCTCAAACTTGCAACCCTACTACCTCAGCATCCCTAGTGAGGAGATTCTTGGCATGAGTCCCTCCAGTCCCAATCCCGGGGTTTCTTTTCCTTGGGTTTTGCAGTATCTTTGACTCAATGGACAGACTGTACAATGACCACCAAGAATCCCGCCTTCTGATGCTCCCACCTCTTGATTGTAAGTGGCACCTGTGACTTGCTTCCAATCATAGATGAGAGCAAAGGGGGCTCACACATAATAGGGGATATATGCTCTGGCTCGGGCACCCGAGAGATGGCCCAGGAGTTCGGGTCCTGGCATGCTGTAGCAGTTCACACATCCTCTGCATGCTCCTGAACTTCGACTCCAAAGGATCTGACACCTTCTCCAGGCCTCCACGTATGCATGGGCTTGTACACCCTGCCTCCCCGTGAGCGTGCCCACACACATACACATTCATTCGCACAACACAAACTCTCTGTCTTAGGGCTAGTGACGCAGCTCAGTGACAGAATTAGCTGCCCAATGTGTGAGGCCCTGGTTCGACAGCCAAGCAACGCAATATCAGGTCAAGTACTGTTTGGGCAAATCGAAGATCAATCTCCTTGTCAGTTTCGCGAAGCCCGTGGCTCCTGTGGAGAAACTTCCACGGTGAGTCACTGGATAATCTCTAGTAAATTCGGGTGGAGTCTCAGCCAAACTTCCAGGCCTCCGGTCACAGCACAAGAAAGTTCTGCCAACAACCTGAACGGCTTGCGAGGGAACTGGCTCCCATTTGACTCTCCAGATGAGAGTTCGGACTGCCCGGTCCAGCCCTACTAGCCTTGGGGGACTGCATGCAAAAGAATTGCTAAAACATTTCTGGACCTTAGGCATATGAGGTAAAGTGTTTGTGAGTGTATGTGTGTTCACGAGTGGGTTAGGGTCTCGCTTGTAACTCCAGCTGGGTGCAAATCCTAAACTGGCCTTGAACCCTCAACTCTCAGCCCGGAGACAAAGAGCTGTCTCAGCCTCCCAGGAGCATGAGCCACCGCACTAGGTGTATTGTGAATACACCCACCTAAAAAATCTTGGGGCCGTTAGGAATGATCCCCGTTTAGGGGTATCTAGTAACCCAGGCTTGGACCCGGGTCTAGGCCTAGGAGAACTGGGAGGGAGAGACTAGAGGCTACTTCCCACATACCCCTTTGGACACTGGGCACTTTCAAAGCAAGTTGTGTACCATCCTTCCCGGCCTGTCCTCAGAGGTGGGCGGGCCTGGCGATCGGTCCCCTGAATCTCCTGCTCAGTGCCTGCCTGGCACACAGCAATCCTAACACAAGGTCTGAGCACAAATGCCCAGAGGGAGCCAGGGAGGCCGCACCTGCAGTTTCGTAGGCCCGTCGCGGGGGGCGCTGCCG